TACCCGCATATCACAGTAAGTATAAAAGTGAATTAAACTAGTGGGTTCGGAACCTGTTTTGAGACTTTTTCATTTTCTTATGCAAGTTTTTATTCTTTATTATAAAACATATCTTAATTACTGCTTGAAAACATAAATATACATTATTAATACGCATTTAAGCTTTTTTGATGTATTTTTGTCCCTCTCAAAATATTCATTCATCAAGAATAAAAAATGAGATAGGGGGCTGATAATAATCAATCCTTCGATTAATAGATAAAAATCAATCAATCAAATAAAGAAGCATTATAATTATGTACTTTTTACTGGAGAAAAACAACAACAGCAACAAAAAGTTTTTTTCTTAAAGCTGCGGTAGAGCCCCGGTAGATGTCCGGGTGAGCCGGGATCCGTTAACTCTGCCGGAACGTCCGGCATGATCCGGAACATCCGACATTTGACACGGATGGAATAAAATATTTAATATCACCGGGTGGTCCGGGGGTAACCGGGAAGGTATACTTTGTTGGGCTTCATTCCCCTTAGCTTAGCCGGGAACGGACCGGGGTTACACCACCCTGGAAGCCCCGTAACTCAACCGGCGCAAAAACCGGGGATGATCCGGGGTTTGGAGAGCCGGTTAGACTACGGTAGAGCCTAGTGAATCCGGCAGAGCCCCGATGAAAGCCGGCAGAGCCCCAGTGAATGTCAGCAGAGCCCCGGATGATGACGATGGAGCTACGGTTCATCCCGGTAATGCCCCGGCAAAGCCCGTTTCATTTCAAAAGCATTACGGCAATTTGCGATTATTTTAAAAACCCTTCCCCATTTCCCTTCTGTCCAGTCTTGCATAAGGATTATTTAGAAAATCATCATTAATTACTTATTAGATATGAGAAAATATCATTTGAAATTATATTAAATGAACATTATGTATCAACATCATCATTTTTACGCGTTTTAAATACACCGGGGTTCTACCGGGGCTCTGCAGGGATCTTTCTGGGCTCTGCCTGGATCGTCCGAAGCTCTGCCTGGGTCAACCGGGGCTCTACTGGCGTCATCCGGAAACGACAGGGGAAGCATCGGCATAAACCGTAGCTTCACCTGGGTTCTGCCTGGATGGTCCGGGACGCATCCTGGGTGTTAGTTGGGAATAAGTGCTGCTGGAAGTGTGACCGCAACAATAATTTCACCCCGGGTCGTCCCGGACCACCCCAGTAACTTACTGTTGTGGTCCTGGGCTCTGCCGGGAGTGAGACCGCAGCTTAAGCCCGTTAGTCTTTTGTCATGGAGTAGGATTCTTTTGGGCTTAGTGCTCTACCGATTACAAGAGCTGTTGCGATATTTATTACTTTTTAGCTCACCTTGCACAAAGTGCAGGTGAGCTTTTAAGATGGCCAACCAAATGGCGTCCGTCGTCCGTCCACATTTTAAATATTCTAAGGACATCTTCTATGATACCATAAGGCCAATGTTAATGAAACTTGGCAGGAATACTCTTTGTATGAAGCTCTATCAAGATTGTTCAAAAGAATTCCATTTCATGCAGAACTCTGGTTGCCATGGCAACCGAAAGAAAAAATCTTTAAATATCTTCTTTTTAAAGAACCGTAAGAGCTAGAGCTTAGATATTTGGCATGAAACATCTTCTAATGAGTGTCTACCAAGTTTGTTCAAATAAAGCCCTAGGGTCAAAATTGGCCCCGCCCCAGGGGGTCATTGATTTTCCCTATATGCATATAGTAAAAACTTAAAAAATCTTCTTTTAAAGAACCCAAAAAGCTAGAGCTAAGATATTTGACATGAAACATCTTCTAGTGAGTGTCTACCAAGTTTGTTCAAATAAAAGCCCTGGGGTCAAAATTGGCCCGGCCCGGGGGTCATTGATTTTCCCTATATGCATATAGTAAAAACTTAAAAAATCTTCTTTTTAAAGAAACTGTAAAAGCTAGAGCTTAGATATTTGGCATAATACATCTTCTAGTGAATGTCTACCAAGTTTGTTCAAATAAAAGCCCTGGGGTCAAAATTGGCCCCGCCCCAGGGGGTCATAGATTTTCCCTATATGCATATATAGTAAAAACTTAAAAAAATCTTCTTTTAAAGAACCCAAAGAGCTAGAGCTAAGATATTTAGCATGAAACATCTTCTAATGAGTGTCTACCAAGTTTGTTCAAATAAAAGCCCTGGGGTCAAAATTGGCCCCGCCCCAGGGGGTCATTGATTTTCCCTATAAGCATATAGTAAAAACTTAAAAAATCTTCTTTTAAAGAACTCAAAGAGCTAGAGCTAAGATATTTAGCATGAAACATGTTCTAATGGGTGTCTACCAAGTATGTTCAAATAAAAGCCCTGGGGTCAAAACTGGCCCCGCCCCGGGGGTCATTGATTTTCCCTATATGCATATAGTAAAAACTTAAAAAATCTTCTTTTAAAGAACTGTAAAAGCTAGAGCTTAGATATTTGGCATAATACATCTTCTAATGAGTGTCTACCAAGTTTGTTCAAATAAAAGCCCTGGGGTCAAAATTGGCCCCGCCCCAGGGGGTCATTGATTTTCCCTATATGCATATAGTAAAAACTTAAAAAATCTTCTTTTAAAGAACTCAAAGAGCTAGAGCTAAGATATTTAGCATGAAACATGTTCTAATGGGTGTCTACCAAGTATGTTCAAATAAAAGCCCTGGGGTCAAAACTGACCCCGCCCGGGGGTCATTGATTTTCCTTATATGTGTATAGCAAAAACTTAAAAATCTTCTTTGAAAAAACCCAAATAGCTTGAGTTTAGATATTATACATGAAACATCTTTAAGTAAATATCTACAAAGTTTGTTCAAATAAAAGCCCGGGGGTCAAAACTGACCCTGCCCCAGGGGTGTCATTGTTTTTTAACTATATGTGTATAGTAATAAACTTAAAAAATCTTCTTTTAAAAAACCCAATGAGCTAGAACTTAGATGTTTAGCATGAAACATCTTCTTATAGGTGTCTACCAAGTCTGTTCAAATAAAAGCCCTTGGGTAAAAATTGGCCCGGGGGGGGGGGGCTATATACAGGTGAGCGACCTCAGGGCCATCATGGCCCTCTTGTTTATAATTATCATGCAGTCTGGACGTGCAATATTTCATTTACTTACAAAGCTATAAAATAGACTGTTTTTTAAACATAACTTTACGAGAACTGTAAAAAATAAAACTTTCCATGCATTCTTTGCTAAATCTTAAATAAATATATTTAAATTTTTAGCTTTAATTTACTAAAAACTGTGTTTTTGCATTTTTAAAGGGGTTGTCACCCTGTTATTTGTACGTCAATGTCTACATGCAAATATCTAAGTTTCTTAGTCATAATTATTTTGGAAAACACACTTTTTTTTGAAAAAGAAAACAAAACGATGCTTAAAGATGATATTTTATATCTGTAATTTTATATATGCAAGTCTGCAAGACTTGTATCATTGAATAATGACCTACATAATTGTATGTCAATTTGATTTGTTTAGCTTATGTATGATATATCTTTGCAATTTAGTATTTGACACATTTTACGCTTTTTCAGTCTTTCTTGTAGAGTTTTGTAGCAGGCGTCCTTTGTACAACTTTACTGCCGTTGATCATATTTTATATTTCCTTTTGTTTTGTTTTAGAAAGGTGTCTTTCGTCACCAGGGGAAAAGTATTTCTGGCCTTAATGAAAAAGGGCAAAGGCTACTAAGTTGTAAACATAAAGACGTCATCTGCATATTGAAGGTACAAAGAGGACAACGGTCTACTTTACTCGTTCTGGACATTTGGAGAGATTTACAAGTATAATTATACAATATGTGAATGATTATATTGTGTCAATAATAGCGGAATTAAACGGACTCAATATATATACTCCCAGTCTGTAAAATAGTTACGAGGTTATAAAAACAAAACAGACTTTAAGTCCTAAAATCAGTAAGAAAAACTTATCTATTACATGTAAGTGTAGAAATTGAGTTGATTCATTTAAAGATCACTTTCGATACCTTTCGACGAAATCGAGGCTTTGATACATATTCATGGTACGAGAAACACTTATGTCCTCTTCGCAGACGACATCAAATAAGCAGACGAAATCGAATCATTCTACGTTAGATGCGCAACAAACCACACCTGAACTTCAGACCCAATCTGAGAACGAGCTTTCACATGAAGAGCAGACGACACCAAATGGAGAGACGCTTCCAGAGCAGCAGACGTCATCTGGGCAGCACGCGACATCTGAACAGCAGACGTCATCTGTGCAGCACGCGACATCTGAACAGCAGACATCATGTGTGCAGCAGACTTCATCTGAACAACAGACCACAACACGTTCATCAAACACAACATATAGTTTTGAACCTATGATGACAATTATTGACAAAATAGCAGACGGACAACGAGTTCCGCCACAGACTACTATGAAATATGAAATGTTAAGGTTTTGCACCCTTCGATCTTTTCCAAAAGGGAACAAACCTTATATTACCAGATTGGCTGGTGCAGGATTTTATTACGCAAACGAAGGCGATGAAGTCGTCTGCTATTGTTGCGCGCGCCGTAGGAGAAATTGGACAGAATTCGAAAATCCTTTAGAAGTACATAGAGAATTAAATCCAAACTGCAGCTTCCTCATTCGTAATTCTGAAGTAAATGTCTCAGTAAGACAAAGTATTGAAAGTTCTTCAGCAGAATCTCACTCAAACCTGTCAACAATTAATAGAGACCAGTCTAACTCTAATTTTCGTAATGAATTAACGGAAGTGAATGTGTCGTCTGCAGTTGAGACTGGATCACAGATTCAAACGAATCAAAACTCTGAACATTCATCTTTTGCAAGCAATGCGATTTCAAGAGGAGGGAACCAGTCTATTTCACTACTTCCTGTAGATGTACCGCAAACTACTATTGAGAACCAGTCTTCAAATAATTCTACAGGTAGTGATAATTAAGTCACATAAGTTTGTAAAGTAAAGCTTTTCATAAAACTATATCGGAGGCTTAATTTAATAGCAACAAACAACAAACAAAACAACCAAAAAAAAAAAATTAAAAAGAACAATTAAATTCACATGATTTGATTACATCTAATATCACAGACCGAAAAAATGCTTATTTTGTTATTTAAAAATCATTTTAAAGAAACCATTGAAGGTCCTAGACTAAGATAGTTTTTTTTACCGGTGTAAGATGAATGATTTGCTCAATAGGGTAGATCTTTACATTTGGGATAAAAACCCATCAGAAACAACAACAAAACAACAAAACAACTAATATTTTATTTTTTCTCACTAGCACTGTATAGTTTGTGTAGCAGGATGGTGTTCCACATTCTATTAACATTTAAACTACTTCCTTTACCAAATTGTCATACATATATAGAAAATCGTCTTTTTTTGTTACATTTACTCACATATGATATACATGTATGTATTTATTAAGTTTTTAAACTAAAATCAAAATGGATTATTCTCTTTTTACACCATTGCTATACCTGTATCTATTTTTGTTTGTTTCTATCACTGTGTATTATTTTCTATAGGAGGCGTATCTTCGTCTATGCCCCCAAAATACCCCAATTATGTCAGCAAGACAGCACGTTTGTCGAGCTACAGTGATTGTGGGGACATCGTCATCCCACCAGACCGCCTGGCACAGGCCGGCTTCTTCTACGCCGGTTTTGGAGATTGTGTCCGGTGTTACCAATGTGGAGTCGGTAAGTTAGAATTAATATCCCTTCAAATAAGTTTTCATTTTGTTTTGATTTTGTATAATATACATAACTGAATCGCATATATGAAATACATTTATTTTTAGGAAACCTCGACTAGGATTTTTCAATTATGATGATTGACAGCTTGTGCTTGTGTACAGTTCTTGCTTAGTCTTTGTCCTAGTGGTAAATCATGGGTTCGAGCCCTAATCGAGTCACGACCATGTTTTTCTTCAGATGACACCAGTACTAGTTGGTTCCATGAAATGAACTCGGAAGTGATTAATATAAATTGCAGGAACTTATGTCACATTCGAGTTTTAAATATTTTTAAAGAATTCTTTGTCCTATCTTTTCTGTAATCTATATCTATATCCTATTAACTGTTTTCATCATGATATTTTAAACATTGTTTCTATGACAACGAATAGTCCATTTATATACTGACAACTAACACTTAATAATAAAACCGAATAACAGTTAATAATAAAACCAAGATAAGTATGCTTGAATGGGAAAAACACTATGAAATTTTCAAATATAGGTCCTATTACACAAAAAAATACGTCAAGGACAAATGGTTATATTACTTTGAAAACAAGCAACGCCATGATTGTGATGCCATATTTTAATTAACTGCATAGCAACAGTAAGCAGCTTTTTGTCAGAATATAAACATAAAGCAGCTTATACGAGCATAAAAGGGAAATAACTCGTTACTGATTCGTTAATTTAGAATATACTGGTTGTATCTCTTCCTTTGTGTTTATTGGTGTCCTTCGAAGTTTGTTTGTATTTCTTCAATCTTTTTATGATTTCAACCTGGGCGCTTTGTTGAGAATAAAAATTAGTGAGGTTATACAAATGGTTATATTACTTTGAAAACAAGCAACGCCATGATTGTGGTGCCATATTTTAATTAACTGCATATCAACAGTAAGCAGCTTTTTGTCAGAATATAAACATAAAGCAGCTTATACGATCTTTTTATGATTTAAACCTGGGCGCTTTGTTGAGAATAAAAATTAGTGAGGTATACAAATCGAAGTTGAACCAATAGATCTTAGGCTTAATGGAACGCCTTTCATATCATGTCGTCACAACGGGAAAAGTTTTTTTTCTCTCGTGACAAAAATGTATTCGAAAACTACAGGAAGTAGTTTTATATCTTTACTGCCCGGAATAAATCGATATTTTTTCATGATGCTTAAAGCATAATTACCTAGTTAAAACAATGCATTCTTATATTGCCTTTAATATAATGTTATATTGGTAATTTTTACAGGATTACGTCATTGGTCTGAGGAAGATGATCCATGGATAGAACATAGTAGATGGTCAAATGAATGTTCATACGTACGACAGATTAGAGGAAGAGAGTTCGTGAATATCGTGCAAATGGCTGTGCAGTATTCACAAAACGTATATATAAGTTAACTTACATTTTTAAACACTTTTCATATAAACCCGTCGTCGGTTACCCATGGTATATATTCCGTACATACGACATTATCTAGATTCCTTTGAATGTCGTATGTACGGAATATATACCGTGGGTAACCGACGATGATATAAACCAAAAAGACAGAATTATATGTTTGATGATTTGCTATTGAAATGAATACAATGTTTTTAAAACCGATCAGATATAAATTTGAATCGCAAAAAGGAAAGTCAATTGAACATAAAACGTAACTGTTTAAGAAAGTATTCGGATATATATTCTTACATGGTCTCTAATTTCTTTAAGTTAACAAGGACTGTAGACTTTCGTTTGTGTAAGTGTATGTAATAATATTTTGACAGACGTTCAGATTGATTCATTAGTATGACGTAATTTATGACGTCAACAAACCAAATAACGTCATGGTAATATTTCTCGTTGGAATGTAATTCAGACGATTTAAGATTAGATACTGGCACCAGTGTCCAACCTTTGCAAATATCTTTGAAAAAAAATCATCACCAAAACAAGATTGACAATATTTAAATATTTTCATAAATATTTTTTCTGTATTTTTCAGCAAACCGGAAATGAATCGATTTCAACACAAGGAACTGAAGACATAGGTAGTTTTTTCTTTAAGTAATAACGCTTTGAAAGCATATAAATGCAAAAATTGAAAAGAATTAGACATTAGAATTAAATGCTAATCGAAATATCGAAATGTATGTGGTTGTTAGAACTAGAAATTTAATTAAATATGCTTTGAATTTAAAAACGCACATGTCTGTGTTAGAATAGTGTTTAAACAATATTATACTAAATTTCCGAAATTCAAAAACGAATATTTTTTTAGTTATAAATACATCTACCTTTATATATCACTGTTGTACAGCGTCCACCGGATATAGCCCCTCAAAACTCCGAAAACGAAAGTAAAAAGGTTTACGTCGAGTTCACCAAAGGTAATGTTTCAACTTATTTCTCCATCAAAACTCCATCGATTTTTCCAAACTTAACTATTTTGTGAAGCTAAATATGTCCGGGTTTAGAGCAGTATTTTCTTTTTTCTGCAAATTGAATACTTTTTGTTAAATCGGCGATAAATTGTGCCGTTTTTGATGACATTTGCGAACGATGTTGCTATTTACCTGTAAATCGGGTTCAAGAAGCATTTGTTGTATCAAAATCCGTATTCAATATACAATATAGACATTCTTTTACTTATATTTGAGTGGTCATCCATCAACTCGGGCTGCTTTCATCAAAATTTGCGAAAAACAGTCTTTTCTTGTGTACATAGTCTAGCAAGAAAAACAAATTTAAGTGAACGGGGTGTAGAAGTTTAATGTACAGGGTTTAGTAGAATGTTACGGTGTATAGCAGTCACATATTTTTTTATTTTTATAGTTTTTATGAGCTGACAGTCATTCGAAGACACAAGATATTGATTGCTAACTTCAATAATTACTTAAATTAATACTAAAACATGAGAATGTGTCATTCTAGATAGCCACTTGCTTTCTTACAAAAAACATTATTTAGATTACAACAAATATAGTCAATTCATATATTATTTTATACATGTATTTATAACATTTTTTGGTTCTTTTTTATATTGTTTTTGTGAGAGGAGGCTAGCCAATAACTTAAGTCTACCACAATCACATGCTTACACACTTGCCGCATAATGCATATAATTGTCTTATTTGCCTCCCGTGCGTTATCCCAATTAAAATATGAAAATAATTACATATTCTTTGGTATCATTCAATGAATTACTGAACTGAAATCAAATAAGTCAACATAATATTTAAGAGCATGACTGGTGACATGTCCAGGGTCCGTACTCTCAGAGCCTGAAAGGACTGCTTGGTCCTCATTAAGCATAGAAAAGAAGAAGACAGATCGATAATTGATCAGGCACTTAAAAGATTATGCACGGGCGTCATTTTCTACAAAACGGCATTAGCTGGTGTCTTCCATAAAACCATTTTTGCCACATTGAATAATCAATGTTTCGACTTAGAATTGAAGCACTTGAGAAAAGTTACGTTAAACGATTTTAATTTGATAGACCATTCAGTGGCGTAGCTACTATTAGGCCATGTCGGCCGGGTCAAGTTGGTCAAGAAATTGTCATTTTCATAAGTCCCCAAAAAACAATAAAAACAGGCGTGGGTAGGATTGGTATTGTGTTCGGATCAAGTGCGTTTTAGGCGTATGCATAATTTTCCGCCCCAAGTTTGCATCTAATCAAATTCAAGTTTAAAATTATTGTTTTGATTATTTTCCTCTTTTTAATCTGAACATGTTTTTGGCCCCAGACCCCTTTTTATGGGCCTACAAGTTGAAAAAAGCTGGCTACATCCCTGCCATTAAAAATTTTATTCAACGTTTACGATAAAACATTTGTATAATTCCACGATGTTGCGTGACCTTACTGCATAGTTATACGTAGTCAACTATTATCTTACAGGAAAAGGCCCATGATAATTTTGCAATAACAATTGGCCCAACCCTTTTGTATACTGTGTAATTATGTTGATGTAAAAGAATTGATGAATTATATTATATATGCAATAAAATATTATCAAACTTACTGTTCACAATGCATAACGTGAACATGATTTGATACTGTTTAAGACAAATTATAGAATTCACTGTAAAGTTCTACCAATATATAATGATTCGATCAGTCTACTGAGTTTACATTTTTTTCTCAAAATCACGCATAAAAAGTTGTCTACGGTTTACTACCATTGATATTCATGCTACGTATAATGTTTCTTATCTAATTTAACATTTTTTATCCTTTTTAAAATGATAAAAGGTTTCACTTTACGATCCCTGCCCCCGGCATCGACATCAGCGTACGTGTATGCTCAGCTGGTACTTTATTTAGTTTATTTTTTGCAACAAATATAGCAGTCGTTTACCTACTACACCCCGTACACTTGCTAACAGTTTTACATCTACGCCCCGTACAAAACCGTGCTAGACTCTGTACACTAGGCAATGTCTTTTTTCGCAAATTTTGATGAAAGCAGCTCGATTTGATGGATGACCACTCAAATACAAGTAGAAAGAAGTCTGTATTTTATATTAAATATGGATTTTGATACAACAAATGCCTTTTGGGTCTGATTTACAGGTAAATATCAACATCGTTCGCAAATGTCAACAAAAATGGTACAATTTATCGCCGATTTAACAAAAAGTATTCAATTTGCAGAGAAAAGAAAATACTGCTCTAAGCCCTGGCATATTTAGCTTCACAAAAATGTTAAGTTTGGAAAAATCGATGGAGTTATGATGGAGAAATAAGTTGAAACATTACCTTTGGTGAACTCGACGTAAACATTTTACTTTCGTTTTTGGAGTTTTGAGGGGCTATATCCGGTGGACGCTGTACAACAGTGTATATTAATTAAATGAGGCATAACTTCCTTACTTATGCTTTACTTTTACGTAACAAAAATTTGCATATCAGCAGGCAGAGGTTCCGGAAATGCGTCTGCAGACATAGATAGACTGATGCACACAAACGCTGCACAAAGCGTCTTGGAGATGGGTTATCACCCTGACGTCATTAGAAGAGCTATCAGAATGGTCATATCCTCAACAGGTTTGCATAAAAACTTGTCTAGATGGTTTTGTTTTTCTGTTGTTTTTTTTTCCTTTCACAGAATTTAATGAATTTAAAACAAACTGTGATTAAAGCTTTGTAAACTTTCTCAAGCAATATTTGTTAATAGTCACCAAAAATCTGAGATGCGTGCTTTCCCAAATAAAACGCAATGCTTGCTAAAAATATGGGTCCATAATTGATTGAAATACACTGTGAGCGTTCTTTTCAATCGATTTGGAACTTCTGAAAAAAAAAACAACAACATATTATTCAGTGTTGTAGCTGTAGTTGGTAGTCTTTAAATTACATCCGTACTGAGTACGTTTTGAACAATTCGTTAGTATGATGTTATAGAAATACTAACATCAGAATTATTATATTAATAATATTATACTTTTTTCTAATTTCTGGATCAAAGCTACTTTGTTTCCTATTGAAACAGATCATTCATATTTTTTATTATAACATTATCCACTTCAGTCGCTGATTTACATCAAAATTCATTTTTTTTGTCTTTAAGGAATTGCCCAAGTTGTGCCTTATTTATCATGTATGTCAAATTATTGTACGATTTGAAGTTTTTTTAACAAAATAAAAGGTTTCATTTTTATTCTTTTATATTCTTTTATAGGGACATGGAATTTTTTAACAGCTACAAACATAATGGAGAAATTCTTTGAAATCGAAGACTCTGAATCCTTTCAAGAAAATACTGAACCTGAGAATGCGGGGAATTACGCGCCACCTGCAAACCACTGAAGCACGCGCACCTACAAAACGTAGAAGCACGTTGCACTCTGCAAACACTGAAGCACGCCGCATTCTGCATTCTAAAAGCTCGCGCACCTGCAAATTGCAGAATCAACGTCCAAAAAAAAATGAAAACATTTTACCCGCAACAACTCGAGGAAATACAAGTTTTTCGAAAATAGACACGAAAGTGCAACACCTCAAAACGCACCTTTAGAAAATGTAAGTGGTGCTGTTGCCAGGGGGTAACGAGAAACTGGGCTTAATAATGGTTCGTCTGAGAACCAACCGGAAACTGCGACACGTCATAATGATGACGACAAAAAAGTGTTCTGGGAATGTAAATGGGGATGAAAGCCAAGGCAGACAACAGAACGTGTCAACTATGTCGTCAAGCGCGGAAGTAAACGGGCAAATTTTCAAAGCAGACGACACGTGAAAGTCCCCGCAAGCCGTAAGAAATTTTGATTTTAAGATATGAATCACCCATCTTAATATGATCTTAGTTAACTAAATTTTATTTGTGTTTTGCATTTTTACACTACAATAATAACAAGAAATAAGGTTTATTGTTTTTAGTTTTTTTTTAAATCAAGAAAAAAAAAACCCCAACAAAATCATTGTCTTACTGCTAATTCATTTATTTACAAACAATTATCTATCAATGTTACCTACCTAGCAATGTTGTTTAGAATATAATATATATTTATTTTTTAAAGTGTTGAGATATGTGGTCTTTTTTGATTTTTTTAGTTATAATCAATGATTTTTTTTCATGTTCGACGTGGCCGCAAAATGTTTCTCATATTTGCATATATTTTTATAGGCAACATTGGCTATTAACTTTTCTTTTGCCTTTTCTGTTAAAATTTGCTATAATAATTTCATACAATTTTAATACATTTACGTTTCAACTTGTGCAGCATTGTTTCTTTTTTTTTCTGCATGTGTATAGTGTGTTTTCTTTGTAACCTTCGCAGATTGCGCATGCTCGAGAAAATATTTTCATTTATGCATAGAAGGGAACCGGGGCCGAAATTTAAAGGGTTTTTTAACGTTTTGGGTGTATTTATATTTTAATTATTTTTAAACTTAAAAAAGGGGGAAAACCCACTTTTAATTTGATATATTTTTATATAATTTTTAAAGATGAAAATTATTCAAAACAAAAAATTTTTTGACGTTTTTTATTTTTCAATATAAAAAAAACCCAATCACTTTTTATATTTCCCAAAGGGGTGGTGCACATCTTGGGGAAGAAAAAAGGGGGCGGAAGGAGGAAAAATGATATGTTTTAAAAACAACAATTTTTTATGTTAAAAAAATTTTTCCTTTTAATGACGTTTGTTTAGTTTTCCTTTCCCAAGCGGACCCCCTTTGGGTCAGTTTTGGAAATTGTGCACCTACGTAAAATTCCCACTTGGTTTTGAAACTTTTGGGGGTTTAAAATTATTTTAAAGGGTACCGGGGCGACGTCCCATTAAAGAACTTAAAAAAAGGGAAGGGAACCTTGAAAAAAATTGAAATAAAAGCCCCAAATCCCCTTTATAAAATTAAGGATTTAATAGGGAAGGAAACCCCAAAATTTTAAAAAAAATTAAACAAGGGGTTTGGAAAAAAAAAATTTTCGGTTTCCCTTTTCCTTTTTTTTGAACCCTTTTGGAGTTTAAAAATTTTGGGGAAAATTTTTTGGGTGAAAAAAGGGTTTGTTTTTAAGAAATTTGATATAAATCAAAGTTGCAAATTATTTTATAAAAAAGAAACCATTTTGACTGAAAAAATTTTTGTGATTTGTTAATACTTTTTACGTAAAATTTTCTTTTTTCTTTTTTTTTTTTTATTTTTCTGTTAAAATTTTTGGCACATGACATTGGGGGAAAAAAAGGAAAAGACTTTGCCCTTTTTGAAAAAAATAGTTTTTTTTTCCCCCTAAGTTTAAAAGAAAGATAATTTTTCAAGGGAAATATATATGTTACTGACATTGAATATTTGTTAAGCATATATTGATCAAAGATATTATATGTAACTTATTTAACGCCAAATAGCAGTATCAACAATTCATGTAGAACCTAGTGATTTTACTTATAATAATATAAACCTATATAAGTGCAAATAATACATTATATGTGCCACTACCTCAAATATTTCAGAATAACTTTTTTCCAGTTTACTTATATTTAATCAACACAAAAAAACATTAACTAAAAATTTAAAATGTCTTTCAAACGTTATAGCTGATATTATCAATGATCAACATTTTAAATTTTGTTTTTTTATTTTATTTTATAATGTTCGTTAATCAGTGTACATATTGTAAGTATTTATAGTTCAGTTGTATATGTTCCTGACAAAAATTCTTTACGTTTTTTTTCATCAGAGACCCGACAAATATAAAAAAATGTTTATATACATTTTTTGGAATTTTTTTTGAATAAATAGCTGTTTTTTCTTACAATGTTAATAGTCCAGATTTTGTTTGCAAATGTTTATTTGTCAATTTGAATCACTTTTAGTATAATACACATTTTATTGAAAATAAATTTATTGACCTCACCATGACACGGTTTGTTTTGTTGTTACTTATTTTATTGTAATTAAGCTATATGCAATTTGATAATTTGTTCCGGGATTGTTTCTTTTGAGGGCATTGGCGTATATGTTTTTTTATTGCGTTCCCATATCTACTGGTTAAATACCTTAAATCCGGGTTGTGTTGTATACTATATGTTTTAGTTCAAAGTTTTTGGTGTACATTTTTGTTATTGTGTTCATAAATCCGCTTGATTAATATCATAAGTTGTGTTATAAAAGACTTTTATTTTTTAACATGCATTTGTATATATGTAATTATTTAACTATTATTTGCTATTTTTCAACTGTAAACGCAAATCAGCTTTTTTAAAAATAATAATGATCTCTTACCAAATCAAAATATGATATACAATATATTTATTTTCTTTGGTTGTGATGTTGTTATCATTTTGAAAAAAACAAACAAAACGTTTGATATTATTATACTTGTAATATTGTGTAATATCGCCCTCGAATGATAAAAGTAGCAGCAATGGACATAAAGGTGCGAAGAGGACAACAGCCACTGAAACACCATTACGAACAATAAGCGAACCAAAACCGGGAACAGAATATACTCAATTATCTCGAGGGAAAGGTCCGAAGCACAAAAAATCCACTTCCGGTGGGTCGGCGTATTCAAGCCATCCTGATACAACTCCCACTTCATGCAGAGCGAAGATAGTGATCACAGTGATTAGCACGTGCAGGGGACAGTGCGTACATGTAATGATTCCAAATGTCGTGCCTAGTACTCTTAGTTTAATTTAGTTTCTGATAATTTTACTTCCAATTTAGAACTACACGATGACTTATGTGAAGGAATATATTATACTTGTGCGCTTAATGCATTAATTTTACCAAGTACATCAAAATTTATTATGTGTGAACATTATAAAGCATGAATTCGGTTTTTTAAATTTTTGCAAATTTACAATGTACATCTCCATCAACTTATGATACTGATTTTAAACAGAAAGAAACGTTAAATAATAATCTTCATAACTCTGATGATGTTACTATGGAAATTACCTCCGAAAACTTATTATGTATTAATGTTTTGAAGATAGGGAGTTTAAATGTCTGTGGACTGAAGAAAAGATGTAATTACCAAGCATTTTTGAGCTTGATACAAGACTATGATATTTTTTGTGTTGAAGAAACTAAACTCGATAAATATGATATAATTAATGTACCCGGATATACATTTTATTCAAAGCCAAGGTCTGAAAAGTATTATAGAAAATCCGGAGGAATAGGTGTTTTTGTTAAAGATATTATTTCAGACAAAGTTGAAGTATTATATTCTAGCAGTGAATATGTTTTATGGTTGAAACTTAAATGCATTATCTATGGCCAAGAAGAATATTAGTTTTTAGGGTCTTTTTATGTTCCTCCATTACAATCTCGTTTTTTATACAGAAGAAATGAGTTTTTCCTTTTTTGAAAATGATATCTCTAGTATGTGTAGTGTATATAAATACTGTATTTCTCATTTTGGCAGATTGTAAATGGTCATACATTAAAATCTCCCCGATTTATGTTGTTTTTTGATTGATTTTTTTAACTAAACATTTTGCGTTTTGATGAAGATTTTTACTAACGATTTAACTGTATTGACTATTTGGAAGAAAAGAATTTTCAAATTAAAAGAAACACAACTGATACTAAGATTAATGCTATTTGTTTAAAGCTATTAGAAATATGTAAATGTAATAATCTTTTTTTGCAAACGGTCGAATTGGTGAAGATCCGGTCGATTGGTAATGTACGTTTAGGGAGACTTCCGTGATAGATTATGATTTTATTTATTTTCATCAAACTGTTATAGCCTTATCTCTGACTTCAAAATTTGCGATGTAGAAATATTTATTTTCAGCACGGTCACTCCGTTTTATCTTTTGAATTTTCAGAATTCCTTTAACATCGATATAATAAAGTTACGAATGAAAGCGCTCCGCGAAAATGAAGCTATTAGAAAACCACCTAATGGGAAAATGAAAAAAGAAACTTATTTATAGCGAATTTAAATGAAAATAATCTGAATTATATAAATACAAAATTACAATCTCTTACTACTCACTCACGTGCAACGAAGTCAGATTTTGAATGACCATTGCGGATAACATCGAAAATTATTTAATGAATCAGCGTTTAAATTTCATTTAAAAGAAGCGATTTTCAGCGAAATTCTATTAAATTGATTCAAAAATTTGCCTTAATTACAAAACCCCTGGTTCGGGCCTCAGTGTAAATAGGCTAGACGACGATACCATATCGCACGCGAAAAAGTACTTTACACATAAAAACGAACAGTATAAAATGAACTAAATCGTGCTAGTAAAGCGTATAAACAAACAATTAAATACTTACATTCATTAAAACATACTGTCCTAAGATGATAATTTGGTCTTAAGCGGTACATGAGAAAGTCGAAA